TGTGGGTCTCTATGTGAGTCTGTGGTTGTCTAAGTGCGGTTGTGAGTCTCTATGTGAGTCTGTGGTTGTCTAAGTGAGGCTGTGGGTCTCTATGTGAGTCTGTGGTTGTCTAAGTGCGGCTGTGGGTCTCTATGTGAGTCTTAAGTCTGAAACCATGGACCACATAGACAACTGAAGCTGTCCACTGGCTGACTCGCCAATCTCCACATGGTTGTCACGGCAAGGTTGTGGCTCGGTGCGGTTGTGTTACACTGCGGTTGTGTCTCGGTGGTGCAGGGTTCGGAGGAGGTGATCCGTGTGGTGTCCATGGACAGAGACTACCACGTGGAGTGCTACCACTGCGAGGTAACGCATAACCACCGCCATCACCACCACCACCGCCATCACCATTCACCACCGCCATCACCATTCACCACCGCCATCACCACCACCACCACCGCCATCACCACCACCACCGTCGCCATTGACACCATTGCCACCACCGCCACCACCACCGCCACCGCCACCGCCGCCGCCACCACCACCACCGCCGCCACCACCACCGCCACCGCCGCCACCACCAACGCCGCCACCACCGCCACCACCACCACCACCGCCGCCACCACCACCGCCGCCACCACCACACCGGGGCTACCCCTGTGCACCAATCGTGGTTCCCCGAGGCCGATTTGATCCCCTCAGGAAGCAGCTGTCCAGTTGTACCCCAAGGTAAATGAGAGGTAAATGAGTGTTTGTTCCCAACAGTTAGGGATATGTTTAGGGTAAATATATTCGTGTTAAGGTTAGTTAGCTAGTTAGGGTTAGTTCATGTTAGGCTTATTTAGGGTTAGAGTTTAGGTTTACTAATTTGGGTTAGTCTCTGCCCAGGAAACCTTCAGAGAGTGCATCTGTGAGGATAAGGTTAAGACCGACCAGACGCTCTGAGTAAGTAAAACGACACCGCAAACTGGGAACCTCCTTCACGAGTTTGAAGGGGGCTTTAATTTTAAGGTTTTTGTTGAAATCATAGATATCGACTGCATGGGTAACCTATTTAGAATAAATTAAGGGAAACGAACATTCAGAAGGGAACCGATGCAGTCGGAAATACTCAGGAATATGATTTCACGGGAAAACAACATTTGGGGGATAAAGTGAGTTCTCTTCCACCGCTGCGGCAACGGGCAAAGGTCGCCCATGACCACGAGCGTGGGCGCCGCCCCGGTCGCCATGGGCACCGGCGCTAGCCCACGGTGCCGAGTTCCCCATCCTGCCGCCCCCGCAGAGCTGCAAGATGCGGTTGAACGACGAGGAGGGGCGGCGGTGCTATCCGCTCGGCGGGCGCCTGCTGTGCCACCACTGCCACCTGCAGCGGAGGGAGCCGGCGGGCGGCAGCAGCGCGTCGCCGTGACGACGCCGTCGTCGCCGCCGCCGCACGACGATCCCGGCGCAGGTCGGCTGCGTGGCCGTCGTCGTCGCTGTCGCCGCTGAATCTGATACCGGTGCCGCCCGTGCGCTTTAGTCGGACCGTGGGGGATCCCCGGTGGCAGCTGTCCCTGTGCGGCACAAGATGAACGCAGCACCGGCCTGCAAGTGGGCGCCAGCCTACCAGCGGGGGGCGATGTGTTGCTGTGCGTGAATAGGGATTCAGTAGTTTGCGAGTAGTCGATCACATTTGGGGCGTGGCGGCAGCACACGTGGCCCACACTTTTGTTGAATAATCTTGACACCCACGACACATCGCAGCATTTGCCCAGGTTGGCCGCCGGCTTCGAAGGTGCAAACCTCTTCTGGCGAGCGGCGAACGCGCTACCGCTCGGCTCCGTCACCGCCCCGGTTTCTGGACCGCCGGCAAAAACGGAGAAAGCGGGAAGAGACGACGCCCCGCATGCTGCCAGCCGGGGCTCTGGACGGGGGCTCCCCAATAGCCTCTCTCCGGCTGTTGACCGAGTTCATTGTCCCGCGGTTGACTTCCTACCGTGAATCTGGGAACGAAGTGTGAGACGGCAGGGTGCCTCACCTGCTGCACCTGCTGCACCTGCTGCACGTGCTGCACCTGCTGCACCTGCTGCACCTGCTGCACATGCTGCACCTGCTGCACCTGCTGCGCATGCTGCACCTGCTGCACATGCTGTCGAGCCGCACGTGGGTCCGCTCTCCGAGCACATCTGGAGAACAGGCACTTTAGCGGGCATCGTTTTTAATATTTTTATTTTGCGTGGACACCGCGGCAGTTTGTTTAAATTATAGTGCACCCAGCCGAGGTCGTGGCGCTAAATTAAAGGTGTTGTTGGTACCGAGTCGGGTGTGTGGTGGTGGAGGTATTTTAATTTAAAGATAATCAAATTAATATAATTAGGATACATAAAAAATGCTTGTATTTTGAATAAACGTTAGAATTTTGTACTGGAAGCGTCTCATCCATCAGCGCTGCCGCTCAGCCCTGCGCCTGGGTTTCTTCTTCCATGCCGTGGGGGGTTTGGGGGGGGGGGGCGCTCGCTCGGCAGCGTCCACCTGCGTGCGCGTGTACGCGGACATGTTCAGCGGTTGTCTCTCGGCGTTCACGTGGAGGTCGTTGTGGGATGTTCCCGGTTGTCCACCACAAGTGCCGGAGGAGCAGACCGGCCGCGTGTGCCGTGGGATGTTCTGCCGCGTTATTAGTCGCGGCGGCAGCACAAGCCGCCGTCCTGACGCTGGAACACGCGGGCCCTATTACCAACGGAGCTCGGCTGTTTATAGACCCGGTGACACCTCGCCGCCCTGTCACTCATTCACACGCCGCGCTCGGCGTTCGGAGCCGTCGCGCCACCGCCAACGCGCCTCGCTACCTTTGCTCCCCGGATGGAACCGCGACTTCGCAAAGTGCCGGGGGCTCCCCGCCACCGGCGCCGTCCGCGTGGAGGTCTCGAGGCGGACGACCGGTGGCGGGTCGGAGGGCGGAGGGCACTGAGCGAGCTGCTGAGATCCCAGGTGTACGAATTGAGGCATCCGTCCTGGGATTTGAGTTGCCACCTCTGAGAAGACGACAGAAACCGGGGACCCATCGTGGAAAGAACGTCTCCCAGTCGTTGTGGAAGAGAGGAGAACCACGTGGCAATGCCTTAATTTCCTTGAGTGGTGCCTTATTATTACTACTACACTCAGAAAACAGGCACTTTTAATGTTTAGCGACTCGGGAAGACTTGCGGATTTCCCAGGACAATTTAATGGTCAAAACGACGATTCTGGGAAAACCAAAACCCTGCCTGTGATTAACCCAGGTTCCCGAGTGTGGTGAGTGGATGGTGTCAGAAAATATCGGTCCCACCGTGAGGCGGTGGGGATTGCTCTGCAGCAGGGAACGTAAGAAGGTGCGTGGGGAGGCTTGCGCGAGTGTGCGTGTGTACGTGTGTACGTGTGTGTGCGTGTGTGCGTGTGTACGTGTACGGGCTTTGTCGTGGTGGTGTCGCGGTTAGCGCTCTGCGCTACGAGCCCGGCGACCCGAGTTCAAGTCCCGCTCACGGCCAACACCGGTGACGATTATCTAAACCGGTCCTGGGCACCCTCTAGGTCGATTCGGCCTCAAATGAGTACCTGGTGCGGTGCGTAAACATCGACACTGGGGAGACAAAGGCGACCGGGCGTGGTGCTGGCCACCCACCCCCTCGTGTGCCACAGTGCCGACCTTAATCGGTTTTCGATAGCAGCACTTGCCCAACCGTCTGTGAAGGCTATACGGGGATCTTTGTCTTTGCACGGGCTCAGCGATACCCCTCACCACCTCCCTCTTCAACCCGTCCTCGCCGCCGTCTTTGTCTCCCCCGTGCCGCTTTGCGAGCGCACGTGGCGATACACATCACCGGCGCGCGCATTCCTCGCATTCCGCTCCCACTCACTCAGCCCCCTCCCCTCTTCAAGCACTCACTGAGCCCCCCCCCTACACTCACTGAGCCCCCCCCTACACTCACTGAGCCCCTCCTACACTCACTGAGCCCCCCCCCCCCCACTGCACTCACTGAGCCCCCCCCTACACTCACTAAGCCCCCCCCCCTGCACTCACTGAGCCCCCCCCCCTACACTCACTGAGCCACTCCCCCCCTCTTTACTCACTGAGCCCCCCACCCTCTTCATACACCCCCCTCTTCACGCACTCAGCCCCCCCCCATTTCAAACACTCAAAGCCCCCCTCTTCACACGCTCAGCCCCCCCCCCTCCTTCACACACTCAATCACCCCCCCCCCCCTCTCACCGCACACTCGGCCCCCTCCACTCGCTCTCTTACTTCACGCAGCCGCCCTCCCCTCCCCGCACACCGCGCCAAGCGGCTCGGAGGTCCGCCCGGAGCCGCCACGAGAGGCGGGGCCGCATCTCGCCCGCCAAGCCCGCAGGCTCAGCAGGGCGCAGCCTGGACAACGTCCCGGGCTGGCTGACCGCCACGCTGCAAAGCACAGGCGTCGCGCAATCCGCACCGACCACTGCTCTCACCCTGCAGTGGTCGACAGACGGGTTGTAGTGCAGGTAGCCAACACGGTGGGGGTGTCGGGGGAAATAAAACGCGTCTAAGAGGCACGTTCAGCGAGGAGATGGAGCGATCAATGCCCATCGAGTGCAGGTGGCTGGGTGGATCACTCCGTCGCAGATGCGGAGACCCTCGGGGGGCGGGGTGGGGTGGGTGGCTGGGGGAGGAGACATTCATCCAGCAGTGGAGCGAGCGTGTCTGCCGCTGATGACGATGGGGGTTGTGGTGGGAGCCGGGGCTGTGAGTCCGTGGCAGGGGTCAGTGTCTCCGCGTCTTTATTTAGCGCGGTGCCGGTAACGAGACCTCGTCACACGCCCGCGCATTCCGCCGTGACGGCTCGAGCGCGGGCGCTGCCCTTCCGATGAAAGCCGGCACGGCTGGACAAGCCGGGGCCGCTGTTAGCGGGTGACCGGGTGGGGGGGGGTAGTGGGGCTGAAACACCATCCGTGGCCGTCATCATCAACATCGTCGTCATCGTCGTCGTGTTAATTTTGGTATCGCCCTGCGCGGTTGTCGTTGGCTGAACCCGGCCAGGTCACGCGTGCGAATTAAGACGTGGACGCGATGCGAGCGGCCTCCCAGCCGGCGGGCGTGTGGGTGGACTCGAGCGTCATCGATGTTTCATAATCGCGATTGCCGACGACCTGCACACCGGCTCACCGCCCGCGTGGCTGTGGGAGAGCAAAGCTGATCGTGATGAGAGTTCAGATCCTCGTTGGGGGCTTGACTTCGAGCCGCTCGAGGTTGATACAGTACTGCTTTGTGGGGAATTCCACAGTGGTTGTCCAACGGATCGAACTGTCCCGGTCATAGGAATGTGGAAGTCAAATCACTGGCCCGGGGCTGTTTGTAGGGGTCTAGGGGACTCGCACCAACCCAATATTTCTGCACTCATTTATGCAGTTACTCATTTTGACTTTAATCGATTCATGTTAATAATCATCACGATCGTCATTGTCACACTCAATACATTATCAGTCGTCATCATTCATCGATTACTCTATGCATCGTTCACCTGTACATGTGGTGTTGTACAGTATTGCATGATTTCCACAGGACCCACGCTCTCACATTTACGAATCGCGTTTCACGTGTTCGTCCCCCCAACAATTCCCTCCCGTGCACGCGGGCTACCGTAGTCACGTGGTGCACTGGAAGTCGGCGGGAAACTCAAGTCGCTGTTCCGATACCGAAAATCATTCCTCCCGTCACTCTCATTCCACTCGTCACTCTCATTCCACTCGTCACTCTCATTCAACTCGTTACACTCATTCCACTCGTCACTCATTCCTCTCGTTCCTTCCGTTCCCTGCGGCCAAGGCGGCGATGGAGCGACCAGCGGCTCAAGGTGCTGTACCCCCACCATCACCGACCATGCTCGATCCGCTGTTTGGTGAAGGCCTCCCCAAACCCTCACCGCCACATCTCACGGTTGTTCAGTGCAACACAAGCAACGAGTGCATCACAAGAAATGGGTGCAACACAAGCAATGGGTGCAACACAAGCAATGGGTGCAACACAAGCAATGGGTGCAACACAAGCAACGAGTGCAACACAAGTAAAGAGTGCAACACAAGTAAAGTTGTGCCCGATGTTGTCCTCCGCCCGCTCCAGGCAGCAGCAGCAGCAGCAGTAGGGCGAGGTGGCCGGGTCTCCTGCCCCGTCGGCACCGGAACGGTGGCCCGGGTCTGGCGCCCGAGCTGACGGGGACGGCGCCGCGAGCCGCCGCGTCGGGCGCAGACTCCCCGGAGCTCGAGCCGCTGCGGCTCCTCCTCGCGGGCACGGAGCCCGACGTCTCGCGGCTGCTGCTCGACGTCTCCCGGGCCGCGGGGAGCCTCGCGAGGCGCGTGGCGCTCGGGCGCAGCGTGCAGGAGGTGCGGGCCGCGTTGCCCCGTGGCGTGAGGGCGGCGTGAGTGGTGGTGGTGGTGGCGGTGGTGGCGGGTTGTTGCGTGTGGCTGTAGCGGTGCGTGGGTTTTGGGGTGTGCGAGTGGTGGTTACGTCGAATTGTTGGCGCTGATATCTCGATGTGACTGGTGGCTTGAGGTGATGGTGTCATCACGGTTATGTGGTGTAAGTACAGGCGTGTTATTGATGGTGTCATTGATTTTGTCGGTGTCACTGTTGTTGATGGTGTCATTGGTGTGTGGTGCCAGGCTGAGAAGGAGATGAATTCGCACAAGGTGGCCTGGCTCAAGGGGAAGGTGCTGTACGATGAGATCCAGGATATTTTGCGTGACCTCAAAATACGGATTGGGGACAACGTTGCCACCTCCGAGGACAAATGCGTAATATATTCGCACACGCCATGGAACGCGTCAATTTGAACGTTTCCAGGAATAATCACGCGCCTACCACCAAACCACCCAGACTTTACACGATTCGTCAGATCGTTGGCCATGCAACAAAATCAGTTGTACTGTGCTTCAATGCTCCTACGTCTATGCTCCACATCTTCACAAACCCGCAATGACCAGCGCAATGAAGTGTGGTCAAGTAACCCCACACGAAGCGCACTGCATTGGGAGGCCTTCATCCAACACGGGATTGACTCTCGGGCTTTACTTGTGCGGTCTATTTGTTTCTATTCCAGGAGTGCCATGCTGAGGCGTAGGACTCTTTCAGGAGGATCCTGCTTTTGGGTTTTTATTTGAAGATGTTTTCAGCCAATTAATGATGAGTGTTTGTTAACCGTGTGGGAGGAAACTGGAGCGCCAATACGTGCGATGGAGGCAACGCCATCCCCATACAGATGGAATCAGGGGGTGATTAGTCCACTTGCAGCACTGCCTTCTCCTGGCGAGCCATGATGATCACGGGAAAGGAGTTTCACCACATTTATCTGATCCACCAACCCTCGCCTCCACAGTGCTGTATTTTAGGCGTGCATAGCCAACACTGCCCGGTAATTGTCAGGTATATAAAATATTCTTCGTGAAGTGAGACTTTAACGAACGTTATGCACTAGTATTATTATTCGTGTACTCCATGTTGTGAAGCATCCTGCGACGTGGTTGAGCGGTTGTCGGTTGCGTCTGAAATGGTGAAGTGACCCCCTATCCGCCTGTCGTTGCGCTTTCCTGCCGTGCAGTTTTTCCAGACACTGGAGCAGTGCCTCTTCGTCACGGAGAGCATCCGTCTGCTCGGGACGGACTCTGACAGAGAGGACAAGCCGCCCCTGCTGAGGCTGCACCGCGACGACCTCCGCCAGCTGCTGCCCAATGCTCAGGTGCGGCCACTCTGCAGGATGGCCGGGGCGATGAGTCGCTCTTGTCGGCTAAAGTTCACGTTGTCGAAAGTGCTGTTGGCGAGCGCCTTTCAAGGTTTCCGCAGCAGGTTGGGGTGGCGCAGCCATATGAAACACCCGGCCACCTTTGTCTCCTCGATGGTGATGTTTAGACGCTGCACTTAATTAGGGCCGAGTCTGAGCAAGCAAGGCCAGAGACCAGTTCTGCCATCGCTCTTGCTGATGTTAACCACAGCCAGGAAATCAAACTCAGGTCGCGAGGTTCTTCGCACACGTCGCTAACCACTGCGCAATCACTCCACCATTCACCACACTTGAGCACTCACTGTCGCCAGTGCTGTGGGCTCGTACTTCTAATCAAACGGCACTGGCACGTTCAGCACGATACAGCGCAGTCTGGCGTGAATAACTCGCCACTCTCGTGCGCAACGGAGTGCTTAGCACACCGTGCCATGAATCTGGGAACCCGGATTCCAGTCCCGACCACAGCTAATGGCAGTTGAGAGCGATATATGAGGGAGTCCCAGGTGCCCTCTTGACCAACCCGCATTGACCAGCATGTGAAATACGGCTCAAACAACGGCCATGCATGACATGGCGTGGTTAGACCTTTATCCAACAGCGGATTGGCAAATGCCTGTAAACGGTGATCGTTACAACTATTGTGTTCTCGTCGTGTTTGCAGGAGCAGAATAAGATGAAGGACAGGCTGGCCCAGGAGTTGGAGGAGAAGTTGAGCCAGAAGTGTTTGTCTCTCTTCTACTACTTCAGTCCAGAGAAGGCGCAGGGTGAGGTCCAGCAGAGCCAAACTTCGCAATCTCACACGGCAGCCAGTGAAGCCCCGACTCAACCGCATCCTCTACAGCAGCGGTGCGGAACCTTCTCATCGAGGGCCCAATTGGAATTTCTAGCACCTTTGGCAGGGGCACACATTTACACAAAAACTCCCAATAATAATGTGCGTGTCAACCGTGTATAAAGAGGCCCTTGGAGTGGCAGAAGCGACTGAGAATGATGCTAAAATTACAAATTAGTGTCATCACTGCTTTGAACAAATTTTCCCTCTTGCATCGAACCAGTTGGGCTAAGATGCAGTGATGGATACATTTCGTTTGCATGCCGTTCAAAGTGGCAGGTCTCGAGTGGCCGCGGGCCGTCGTGTGAAATGAAGCCGCAGGGCCATTGGCTTCCCAGCCCGATTCTGCAGAAATACTTGCGACTCTCAACGAGTCCACGTCCCCTGAAGGCTTCAGCCGTGACCTTTGGCAGCAGATTGTCGAAGCCACAGTGTCGCAAGTTGCACCTCCGATTAGCACAGTTGGCTACGTATGGTGCAAAAGAAGTTGAACATAATACCTACAAGTTACTTGGCGGTTCTGCCGTGTGCTGCGCACAGGGGAGGCGGAGAGCGAGGCACTGCGCCTGGCCAAGGCGTGCCGCTTGCACGAGCTGGTGCGCGCCGAGCAGCAGGCCGTGCAAGGCGGCGCCGCTCGGCTGTGCGAGCTGCGGACCGCGCACGATGCTCACGTCAGCACGCACCTCAAGGTGCCTCCTCCACGCGCTCGCTCCATACGCTTGCGGGCGACAACTCTTGTGAAGCTCTGGAGGAAATGTGGTGATTTACCGCTCTATTGGAAGGGTGGGGAAGAGCACGGTGACGTGTTAACCGCGTGTGACGTTACTCGCACTGAGAACATCGCGACGCCGCAGTATCGACACGCGTCTCAACAGATTCATTGCGAGCGATAGTGGCACGGCCCGGCTTTTGCCACCTCCTGAGCCGTGCCAGGGTGGCTGGGCATAGCCCCGGCGCGGTTCAGTTATTTAGTGAAAAAGAGGTATTAGAGTGAGTGCTGACCAAGTGAGCTGATGACCTGTATTTGTAGACGCTGCAGGCCTCCAAGGCGGTGCTGGAGAAGATGCTGCAAGACCACCGCCTGTCACGTCAGGCCCAGAGCGACGCCGTGAAGGTGGCCTACCTGCAGGCCAAGCACAAGACCATGTACCTCAAGCTGCAGTGAGGGCCTCGACTCGCCTCCCACTCGCCTTGCGGCTGTATTAACCAAGAATAATACACGCCATCTGCCTGGTTGCCATTGGAAAATATCGCCTTAGCTCAATGGGCCTTACCCAAAATGAATCGATTACAACAGTGGATGTTAAAGATCCCTTGATGTTATGGAAAAAAAAGTGGGCGATTAAGTGCTGAGGTCACAGTGTCCATTTTCCAGATTGGATAAAGTTATCTGCAAACGACCGTATTTTGTACAACAACGTAGCAACATCGCCTTCTCCTGGTAGACTATCAACAGTGGTTGTCCTATGGACAAACTCGCCACTTCTATCGGAATGGGGAAATTCCACCACTGCGCCTTCGCGATAGCTTTGCGCCGCTGTAAGAATGCCGTGTAAACCAAACTTATAAATGATTGTTTATCAAAATGTATTTTTTTTACAGTTGGGTGGATGTGTTGGGGATTATGCTCATGAGTTCCGCTCTGTCCGCACCGCAGGCTCGAGGAATTGAATATTCTGTGTGACACATACACCCCCGACAAGGTGCAGGCCCACAAGATCATCAAGTACGTGGTGCAAACGTCAACATTTTCTGGATTTTCCATGCAATTATAAATCACCTCGCACCGTTATCAGTTAACACCAGCCATGTGTTTGAAGATGACGTTTACAACCCTTTTGTTAATCCACTGCTGGATGAGTTGCTTCTCACGCCGTGCGGGTGGCGGGAGTTATTTCACCGTACTTCACCACGCCGGTCAGTGCAGGGGTAAAGGCAGGTCACGTGCACACACGTGCACACACGTGCACTGAGAGAAGCGAGGCAATGCAATCAATTTTGCCGCACTGCCCTCTGCTGACCGCCGTGTAGCACAGTCGGCAAACCGCCGCGACAACGTTATTCTGAAACAGCAGACCGTGTATGCCGGCATCCTGGTCCAAATGCACGGTGGTTGCCCATCCAAACACTATCCAGGCTCGACCTCGCTTCGCATCCCAGATCCAACCGATCGGGAGTAATCCCGTCGAATTGGCCACAGGGTCACGGGACGCGGCATCGAACGACCGCGCCGCTGGCGAAACGCTTCGGGTCGTCAACGTCGCTCGCACTGCAGCCGTGTTCCCCGATGCCGTAGGAGAGAGCTGAAGGCCGCCATGGCCACGGAGAAGAAGGAGCAGGCGCGGGTGAGCGGCGAGCTGGCCACGTACGGGACGCTGGGGCCCGATTTCGAGCGGCTCGTGCAGGAGTACACGCAGCTGCGCGATGCCATCGACAACAAGAAGTGGGCGTTGCGGGAGTTCAGGAAGAACGCGGCGTGACGTTGGCGGCCGCGGCCTGGGCCCCGGGCCATCGCGGCGAGCAAGGAGGGGGCCCACGACGCCAAGTCGGTGCTGCCGCTTGCGGCTCGTACCGAGAGCTCAACCTTGCGACGGAGCGTGGGCGACCAAACGCAGACTTCGTGATCATCCACTTGGACTGCCTCACCCACCGAGGCTGCTCGCTCTTCAGCTGCTCAATCCCCTCATACTCGGTCATGATCAATGTGCATTGCAGATTCACCATCATCAGCCATTATATCAATCTCTGCAGCGCAGTCATCCCCTTCAAAAACGTTCTTAACCTCCCACTGCATAATTTCACCACAGAGCAAAGGGCATGGCTAGCGAGTGTACAGGCAGTGCAATTGCACCGCATCCCACAGGCTGTCGGGGACGAGGATCCCGGCCTCGAAGAGGGGTTGGAAGGGAGACATGGGGGCAGGGATGTGCACTTACTGTTTTGTACCAGGACCAGTGCCTGCCACCGCTTCAGCAGCAGGCTTTGGCAAATGTAAGCCAAGTGTGCGTCTTTTCTCCGTAACATAACGCCACTAGTGAAGAAATACATTGTGCTGTTTTATTTTGTTATACGTTTCCATGTTGCTCTTAGGTTAACAATTGCACGACCGCGTGCATTTGTAAGATGTCTCAAATAAATTCGAAAGATGTCTGCATGTAACGGGGCTGTCGTCTGCTCATTAAAGGGGGTTTGGGGAGAGCTGCGATGACGAGTCGATCGGGAATTGTAATCGACCACTTGTCTTGTGATCGATTTCTCGGCCCATTAAAACAATTGGTGGCAGCTGCTCCCACATTGCGTCTCCTGATGGCGGGAACCCCCCCACGCCGAGCGCCTGGCGATGCCGGTGGTGTCGCTGAACCCGCCCCCTCGCCTCGTGCAGTGCCACCAGACCTCGGCACAAATACATTCCTGCCACCCCAACACAAACCTCAACTCCCGCAGTATTAATCAGGGCGGCCGTTGGCCTCGAACCGCGGGCCGCCGTAACAATCGGTGAACAGAATGAGAATATTTAGACTGGAGGAGGAATCCGATGAGCGATGCAGCTCTTTTTCACGTCAAGTGGCGATGGGTCGGCAAGTTTTAATAACAAGCAAAACAAACAACTCTAGGAGTGCAAAATAGATAAAAAAAGGTAAGTCACTAATTAGCTTGGGCAAGGCGGAACACGACAAAAACAGTCCCTCAAAACAAAAGGCACGTTCAAGTTGAATATCGACACACGGCTGGTTCGGATCGAAGCACTTCTGCATTCAGGATGTGTTTGAACGCGCTACCGCTCGGCCATGTCACCGCCCTCATCGATGCATTCACCGCTGCCATGGGAACGTGGAATTTCCACCACTGGCTCAGGGCTAGAAACGGGATGAAGAGCACCACCGCCTCTGCCATGTGAGCGCAAGGTCTGTGAGCTGCTGGGCCGCGGTGATTGCGTGCAGCCCCCACGCCGCCACATAGGGGGCAGCACATCACGCAGTGCCAGATCGGGTTCGGTTAACAACGGCGAAACTAAACTTTAACACAATCTACGTGCTGGATGCGAACGCGAATTATGCGACGCGTTTGTAAATGACGTTCCGTATAAATAAAGACTCCACGTCGAGTCGATAAAACACAATATAAAAAATTCGAGCCTGGCAGGAGTCGAACCTACAATCTTCTGATCCGTAGTCAGACGCGTTATCCATTGCGCCACAGGCCCCACGATTGTAGAACGTGTGCGGGGCGCCTCTTAAAGCCACGCACACTGCTCGTCGACTCACGTGTCCACCCTCGTCGTGGACACAACCCCAAGTTATCGTCCGCGTTGGGCAGTCCTTGGTCAATCCACTGCTGGATGACGGCCTCCTATCACAGCTTTGCAGGATCGCGGAGCATATGTGACCATAATTCACCAGGGGTTGGTGACGGTGGGGAGCATAGAAGCACAGTACAATTCATTGTTCTGTGGCCAGCACTGTCGCCCCGCAGCAGCCTATAGCATCTGGTATGCACGGCGGCGGTGGTGGTGGTCACCTCTCCCTCCGGGTACTCTCCGGGCGCTACCCCTGCCCAGTCCCTGGCGTCGGACGGGATCCGGGCACATGGCGGAAGGGGGAGGGGGTGGGGGGAGAGGGGTGGGGGTGGTGGGGGGAGGGGGTGGGGGCAGGGGGTGGGGGGAGAGGGGTGGGGGTGGTGGGGGGAGGGGGTGGGGGGGAGGGGGTGGGGGGAGAGGGGTGGGGGTGGGGGCAGGGGGTGGGGGTGGTGGGGGGAGGGGGGAGAGGGGTGGGGGTGGTGGGGAGAGGGGTGGTGGGGGGAGGGGGGTGATTAAACAATTATCATGTTCACGACGATAATTACTAATTACAACAGCATAACCTCATTACTAATTACAATAATTGAACAAAACTGCCTCATTACCTCCTGTGGTAACCCCTCGCCAATGACAGCGTTATAAACCGATTACCTCGACCTCATCGCCAATCACTTCATCACCGATTACCTCATCCCCGTTACGTCATCATCATCCGCCTCACCACTGATTACCTCATCACTGATTACCTCACCACTGATTACCTCATCAATGCTCTCATCACCAATTACCCGATCACTAAGGGGACGTCCATAAATTACGTCACGCGATTTTGGAAGATTTTTGACCCCTCCCCTCAAAAAATAAAACACGCTTCAAATCGCTTTAAACTATTGTCATTGTAGTGCGTATTTAATGTGGCGCTGCACTCTGATGTTGTAGGAGAAAACATTTATTAAAAAGTCTATTTAATTAAGTAGAACGTGTTGTCTATATTTATTTCAAGTTGCACATGTTGATGTGACGTCACATTTCTCACCCCCCCCTCCCTTGTCACACATCGTCACAAATGTAATTTATGGACGACTGATTACATAATTAATCAATTACTTGTTCGCCAATTACCCCATCACGCATTAGGATTGCATCGTCAGCTCCCCCCCGGCGGGCTGGGTGACCACTCGTCCAGTGGCAAGTTCGTGACGAGTGGGGTCGACTCCCCCCACCGTAACCCGCTCGGTTTGCACTCCACCATGGCCAGGTGCGGGGTGAGGAGGAGGAGGAGAGACTCGAGAGAGGATGGGGGGGAGGAGGATGGTGAGGAGGAGGAGGAGAGAGACTCGAGAGAGGATGGGGGGGGGAGGAGGATGGCGAGGAGGAGGAGGAGAGAGACTCGAGAGAGGATGGGGGAGGAGGAGGATGGCGAGGAGGAGGAGAGAGACGAGAGAGAGGATGGGGGGAGGAGGATGGTGAGGAGGAGGAGGAGAGAGACTCGAGAGAGGATGGGGGGAGGAGGAGGATGGCGAGGAGGAGGAGGAGAGAGACTCGAGAGAGGATGGGGGAGGAGGAGGATGGCGAGGAGGAGGAGAGAGACGAGAGAGAGGATGGGGGGAGGAGGATGGCGAGGAGGAGGAGGAGAGAGACTCGAGAGAGGATGGGGGGAGGAGGATGGTGAGGAGGAGGAGAGAGACTCGAGAGAGGATGGGGGGGGAGGAGGATGGCGAGGAGGAGGAGGAGAGAGACTTGAGAGAGGATGGGGGGGGGAGGATGGCGAGGAGGAGGAGGAGAGAGACGAGAGAGAGGATGGGGTGGGATGGCGACGCACGGATGGAGTTGGGAGAGGGGAGGATGGTGACGAAGATGGGGAATTAGAAAGCAGCGAGAGAGAAAACTGATGTGGAGGGGAAGGAGGACGATGGCTGTGAATGAGGAGACGGGGGAAGAGGGTGTGAAGAAGAGGGGGGAGGCTGATGAGGGAGGAGGAGGATGAGGGAGGAGGAGGAGGGGGGTTGTTGATGCAGGGAGGAGGCGGAGGAGGAGCCGCGGGGCTCCGCTGAGCGCGACCCACTGGGGCCAGAGCCAAGACGACAAGACGCGGACGGGAGACGACGACAACGACGACAGGTCAGCTGGGGCACGGGGTTACCTGCTGGGGCACGGGGTTACCTGCTGGGACTCGGGGTTACCTGCTGGGACTCGGGGTTACCTGCTGGGGCACGGGGTTACCTGCTGGGGCACGGGGTTACCTGCTGGGACTCGGGGTTACCTGCTGGGGCACGGGGTTTACCTGCTGGGGCACGGGGTTACCTGCTGGGGCACGGGGTTACCTGCTGGGACTCGGGGTTACCTGCTGGGGCACGGGGTTACCTGCTGGGGCACGGGGTTACTGGGTACCTGCTGGGACTCGGGGTTACCTGCTGGGGCACGGGGTTACCTGCTGGGGCACGGGGTTACCTGCTGGGGCACGGGGTTACCTGCTGGGGCTCGGGGTTACCTGCTGGGGCACGGGGTTACCTGCTGGGGCACGGGGTTACCTGCTGGGACTCGGGGTTACCTGCTGGGGCACGGGGTTACCTGCTGGGGCACGGGGTTACCTGCTGGGGCACGGGGTTACCTGCTGGGGCACGGGGTTACCTGCTGGGACTCGGGGTTACCTGCTGGGGCACGGGGTTACCTGCTGGGGCACGGGGTTACCTGCTGTGCTCCCAGTTTATGTGGAGGTCGGCTTTCAACTGGGGCTCGAGTGTGAATGTTGTGGTGAATTTCGATTTAAAGATTTCGTGACTGCAGGGATTCATCTTCTTGGTTCTTTCGGTAAAGTCACGTAGAAGGGAAGTAATAAAATAACTAAAATAAAACATAATAAAATAAAATAATTATCACGACGTTTCGGCTACAACGCAAGCAGCTGCTTGCGTTGTAGCCGAAACGTCCTTTCTACGTGACTTTACCGAAAGAACCAAGAAGATGTTGTGGTGAAGTTGAACAGCAGTCGGTCTGTCTGCAGGTGGGGGGGGGGGGGGCAGTATTGGGGGAGCCCTCCCACGTGTCGTGGTGTTTTTCCTGCAGTCGTCCATCTCTCCCTTGCTCGAGACTGCACCATCGATGGCCTCTCTAAGCGATGGACATGCACTGCAGTGTCGTCTGCAGTGATCCGCTCTCCTTGCTCGGGACGCGGTTTGTCGGTGGACTCCCACGTGGTGGAAGATCCCACTCATGGGGACCTGCAGGGTAGGGAGCGAGAGGTTGGTCGAGGGGTTGGAGTCCCGTCGCTGTGGGTCTCGCAATGCTGTCATGTCGCTTGTTGATGACCCGCGGAAGAGACCGGTGACGGAATAGCAGCCAGAGGGAACGCGTCGGAGAGGACCGCCACGGTGGAGGCGGATCGATGAGATCGGTTAGTTTGCAGGAGATGGAACCCTTCCGGATGGTGATAGCATATGGAGGTCATCATCCAACGGTGGATGGAACATGAATGATGATGATGATGAATTAAAACAATGTTTTGCATCCCAGCTCTCCCTTGCTGGAGAAAGGGTCCTTTTTGTGGCTTCTGGGTGATGGATCTAGTCCATTTTGTCTGGACTGTGCAAATGTTACGGTACAAACGGCTGTTTTGATTGCAGTGAGATTCGTATATAAGCGGTCGCAGGTGACAAATCACCCGGCGGTTCTGCTAAAATAATCACCACCTGCAGCGGCACCGCGAGCCGAGCGAGTCAACCGCAAACTGCTGAATGTTGACCCTCGTTCTGGTCTCGTTGCTAAGATGTGCTGTAAAGTGACCGCAGCTCCGACCGGTTCACTTTGGATAATTCTGTTCGTGAAGGAAACAATTGGAGTCCGTGACACATTTACGGGCACTAAGGTGTAGTGGTGGAGTTTACGGCAGTACAGGCTGCTAAATACGACAGCCTTGGGGATCCTAGATTGCTGCCAAATAGCTCCAAGTGGCACATCTCATCTCGTAGCTGTCGTCTAGAGCGGTATTCGGAACCCAAATGGCGGTTTTGTGGATTGGGGAATTCACAACTTATTATATAAACGTTCTTTCTTGAAGTCAAATTGAAATATATTTTTGGACCTCCTGTAAATAAATGTCCATATACCGACACCTTCCCCTGATTTTTTTTCCGTGGAATTCCGCAGGTATCCTCGTGTCCCCGCACTCCGATGGGAACGTTTGACGAGCAGGGATGGGCGCCCGTGCACCACGCGGCCCACGAGGACGACGCGGCCGCCCTGGAGGCCCTGCTGGCGGAGCCCGGCGCCGCTGCCGAGCAGCTGGAGCTGGAGACGCGCGACGGCCTGCACTCCACGCCGCTGCTGCTGGCGGCCGCCGGACCCGGGCGCCGCCGCTGCTCGGAGCTGCTAGTCGCGCGCGGCGCCCGCCTCGACGCCACCGACGTGCGCAACCGCGGCCCGGTGGAGCTGTGCGCGCTGCACGGCGGCGCGGAGGCGCTGGAGCGCCTGCTGGACCCGCCGGCGCCGGCGACCCCGCCGATCCTCGCGCACCGGCTGCTGGTGAGGGGAATCGGCTCCGACAACGGCGACGTGGCGGAGGCCGTGAGCTGCGCCGTCGCCGAGCTGCTGGCGCGGCGCGACTTCGCCGACCGGCACCTGGAGGCGCTGGCGCGGGAGGGCCTGGCGCCGGTGCTCTTGAGGGTGCTGGGCACGTTCGGCGGGGCCGCGGCGTGCGTCGGGAGCCTGCGTGTCCTGGCCGCGATGGCGCGACACCCGCTGGGCCGCGGTCTCGTCGTGGCCACCGGCGGCTTCGTTCCGCTGCTGGTCGGCGTCGTCAGAGGCGCCGGTCCCAACCCATCCCTGCGGGACACCCTGGAGGTGCTCCGGGAGGTGGCGGAGCTACGGGAGCACAGGGCGGCGTTGGTTTCTGCCGGTGCCGTCTCGGCGCTGGCCAAAGCGGCGCAGGTCGTGGCCGCGTCAAACGGCAAAAAAAACGACGATGATGACGACGGTGGCCTGCCGTGTGCCGCGATGGCCGTGGAGACGCTGGGCCTCATAGCCGAGGGTGACCCCAGCTGCCAGCGCGCCGTCGGCAAGCAGAGGGGATTCCTGCCGGCACTGTGCGGCCTGCTGGCACGCGTGCCGAGAGAGGGGCCCGCCGCCCTGGCGCTGTGCCGGGCGGCGGGCGCCATCGCAGCGGGACAGGCGCACAACCAGGACGCTCTGGTGGTGGGGGGAGGGGCGGCCGCACTTGTCCGTCTGGCCAGAGCCCCGTCCCGAGAGCTCCAGCTGTGCGCCATCGAGGCCCTGCGAGGGTGAGGTGACCTTAATTTGCGGCATTGCGCCAGTATTTTTTACGCATTCCAAACTAAGGCTGAAAGCACCTCGGCTTCGTCCACCTCTGTCCATCCGCCTCCCTGTACTTGTGAGGACTCTTTGTCAGGAGGATCCTTCATTGGGATGTTTGGAAAATTCCATGAGTTAAGTGGGCACGTGGGTTATATGTCGGTACAGCACACCCAGGACTTGCGTATTAACCCTTTCCAGCCAAAGTTCAAAGTGTTAATGCATTAGCTCTGTTTGTCTGTCTGTAGGGGAGGGTGGGGACGGATCACAATGTTGCCCATCAAATAAATATGAGCATAAAGCCACATTGATGACAGTTGCCCCCAAAACCAGGCAATTTCATCACACCAGCGATCATTGAATTCGCCTTTTCAAACGATGCGCATTATCAAATCGCAAGGTGAAACCCGCAGCGACGCATTGTGAACGGTTGTGACGCGCCGTGGCCAGGCTTGTGGAGGGGAATGAGGGGGCTCGGCGCGCGGCCCTGGAGCTGGGGGCCGCCGCCCCGATGCTTCAGCTGCTGCGAAGGTCCCGGGTGGAGCGCGTCCTGGAGGCCACGGGGACCGCCCTCTGGGCCTTGGCCGGCGGCGACATCGACCACGAGACGGCCCTCGCCACCACGATGGGTGAGCACCGCACCGCTGCTCGTCGCCGCCACCAGCTCGCGGTGCACGCACCGCAACACCGCTCGCCCCAGCGCAACCACCGCTCGCCACCACTGCACCACCGCTCGCCACCACTGCACCACCGCTCGCCCCCACTGCACCACCGCTCGCCCCCACTGCACCACCGCTCGCCACCACTGCACCACCACAGTATTAAATAGCCAAAACTGCCGCCTAGATAGGAAATTTGGTTGATCTGAAAATAAACACCATAGATTTGGATCGATCCACACCTGTGAGATCGCAAATTACGTGTGCACTGCCCAAATCAGTCAAGTGGCGGCATTGGGTGACATCGCATTAGTTGGCAAGGCGACCCGTGAAATATCACTTTATGCAAATCGTCTGAATATTACATACTGACCTTAAATATACAGAATTCCAAAGTCCGCAAAGTTTTAAACGCGAAATTCGTCGCGTGGTAAAACGTGTTGGCGAGCTGTGGTGGTGCAGACGGCTGGGGCCACAATGGCGTCTCGCTACGACGAGAGTCGATTGACCGATTCCAACTCGCCGGCGCCGCTCGTGGGCCGCGTCGCAGGCGCCGAGACGCTGGTGGAGTTTGCGCACTCGGCCACGGAGCGCCTGCAGCTGCTGGGCGCGTGGGGCGTGAGCGCGCTGGCACGGGGGGGCCCGGGCGCTGTGGGGGGGCGCCCCCCCGGCGTGACGGCGACCCCCTCCCCGCTGGTGCAGGCCCTGCTGCGCCTGCTGCAGACGCGCAGCCACCCCGTGTTGCTGGCCACGCTGCCGGCGCTGCGGGCAATCTGCCTCGAAGTCGGTACGTGCCGGGCGGCTGCAGGGAATCTCTCTGGCGATGGTGGTGATGGTGGCGGTGGGTTAGACGTCTGTGAAAAAGAGCTTTACAGCTCATCGGATTCCTCCAGTCTAAATAACGACTCTGATAGAGGGGTGGTGTGTGGTGGCCACGGTGGTGCTGGTGGGAAGGGGTCGAATGGTGGTGGCAGCAAGTGAGAGATGGTGGTGGTCCTGGTAGGATGGGATTCCGTGGTGGGAGTGGGTCGGTGGTGATGGGATGATGAAGAGGTGGTAGTGGTGGTGCACCACCATCATTAGTAGCACTCTGCTTGTTTACGCAGGAAAGCTTCAGCGAGGCTCAAGACTTTTTCAGGAGGTTCCTGCCAGGTTTTGGCAGTAGGGGGGCGATGTCGCTTTTTGTAATTCCAATTCCGTAATTTGCAAGTAATTCAGCAATGGGTTGTTTATTTTTTGTTACCATGATCGGTCGTTGGTCCCGATTTGCCTTTTCGGGTGCCGGTTGCAGGCTATGTGCCAAGTCCGGTGCACCAGCTGCAGGTCTTGAACTCCCCCTGCGTGGACTTCCTGCTGGAGCTGGTGGGGCCCGCCACGGCCCCGGCACCCCCGGGGCCCCTCAGGACCCCCGAGGTGCAGGTGGAGGCCATCTGGACCCTCGCCAGCGTGTGGCTCGGTAAGGTGGCGCCCGCCGGCGCTGAACGGCGCAAGTGCGCGATTCCCGGATCGGCCAAACGCACTTTGTTTACACTGAAGTGCGTAACGATGACGCGGCGATCGGTTGAGTGTAAATTTATTCCCACGCTCCCGATACGTGGAGACAATCGTGCGGTGAGAATGTGTTATTCACGAGCAGTGAAAATTATGTACGGACCTTGTGGTGTTGTTGCCATTTGTTGCAATGTAACGGCACAAGCGAGACGGACGGTACGCTTGACCGTGCTCCCCCGTACTGCCGCGTGTTTGGGGGAATCCTCGTACGTCCCATAATGTGTACGTGCAGCAGTCGCCAGCACGAATGCCTGCACGGTGCTCGAGGCGCCTCTTCCGGGTCGATCCGCATTTATATTTCGGTTGCGCCGGACGCAGGAAACCCCGCGAGGCCGGCCGCAAGCGCCCGCGTGGCCGAGCTGGTGGAGCGCCTGCTGCGGCTGCTGCGCTCCGCGCCAGCGGACGAGGCGGTGCGCGTGGGCGCCGGTGCCGCCCTGGCCGCGCTGGCGTTCCGGAGCCCCGGCACGCTGCGCCAGATCCAGCGGGCGGGCGGCCTGCGCTCGCGCCACCTCCTGCCGGCGCTCGACTCGCGGCACGAGCGCAACCGCGTCGACGCCGCTTTCCAGGCGCGTGCGCGCCGCCTGCCCACCCGCGCCTGAGATTTCCGGAGAGCCCCGTGACCTCTGCACCACCTTCCCCCGCTGGCCCCCACACGCATCTTGGCCAAGCGGCTGAGCTGACGTCGCCGTCATCCTTGCCCTCCTTGCCTGGCGGCATTCCCCGCAATGCCCCCATCCTCACCCTGCCACTCTCCTCGTCGCGTCACCGTCTTCACCCTGCCGACATCCTGGCTCTCCCACCTTTTTCACTTGCTGCCCTCCTTGCCCGGTTGCCGTACCGACCCAGTGATGTCCTTTATCCTGCCACGTGGTCCCGCACTGCTTCCCCTTGTGGCGGTGGTGGCGGTGGTGGTGAACCGAAGGATGAATGATGGTTAATGGTTAATGGAACGCGGTGATGTGGCAATCAAGTGCTGGAGTGAATTGGATTTGGGGTGGTGACGTGATCCAGGGCTTGTTTGTCACTTATTGCAGAGGTTTGCAGTTCAAGCCCAGCGACCACTCTGTTTAATACTGCAGTGTGTATCGGCCATTGACACCACGCGCTGTCTGCTTCACAGTGGATATTAGTGGGCCATTGTGAGTTTGTGTCAGGGTCCACAGCAACATTGACCTGCAGACGACGGTCATCTGTGAAACACGGCGGCACGAATACCGGATTTGCTCGTGTTTTGATGTCAACCCGTGATGGGGAACCCCGGTGACCCCGCTGCCCCGTAGGTGGTGGTGCTGGCGCGGGCAGTGGTGGACGGGAAGGCGGCATCCCTGCGGGCGAGGGGCATGGGGGTGCTGGTGGACTCGCTGTGTCGCTCGCGGGGTCACAAGGAGACTGTGGAGCTGGCGGCCGACTGCATCGCTCGGCTGGCACGCACGCACGAAGGCATGGGCACGCACGCACGAAGGCATGGGCACGCACGTACGGACATGCACGCGGGTGCATTCGTCCCATCGTCAATTTTAAAATCGGGTCTCTCACTCGCGAAACAACCCTTGACCCTTACACGTAAGAAATTCTCATTTGCGATTCATGCAAATGAAATGCGAAAGTATTATTTAATTAATTTTCAAATATCAGCACTGGGGAGACAAAGGCAGCCCTGTGTGCTACTAGCCAAAGCTCACTCAGGCTTTGTCCTGGCCTTCAAAGGTGCTTGCTAAGGGCACAGAGACGGCCGGCAGCGTAGGCTACACAGGGGACCTTTATCTGTAGTGTCTGTGTGTGTGTGAATCTGCAGGTGTCCCCGAGGCGCTGGTGGCTGTGGACGTGGTGCAGCTGCTGTGGCCGCTGCTGGAGGGGCCCTCGGGGCGCGTGCGCCGCTCCGCCGCCCTCGCGCTCGGCCACCTCAGCTTCACGCACGCGGCCGTCCGCATGATTCTACGCAGGTGCGGACCGCCCATCCCTCGGCACCCCCCCCAACCCCCCCCCCAACCCCCATGGCTCTCAGGATTAGAGTGGGAGCTCGAGTGCGGGTAAATGCACACTTAATGAGGACTCATTGAATCTGGCTCCAGTTGTTTGAGAATGTGCGAGCGTCTAAGTGATGCGTGTGTGCTCTGCTGCGTCCATCTGCATGTGTGTATTCGATTATCCGTCTGTACGTATGTCCGTGTGTATGTACACCTGCGTCCTGCCTGTGTTTACATCTATTTGCCCATCTTTCGGTGTGTCTGGGTCCATCTGATTATGTATCCATCCTTCTGTCGATGCGTCTTTGTCTGTCTGTGGTGTGCTTGTGTCCGCGCGTGTCTGTCCGTGGCTCTGCTGCCCGTGGGGCAGGTGCCGCGAGAGCCCACGGCTGGCGGGCGTCTTGCTGCAGCACACGGAGCAGCAGAGCGCCCTCTGCCCGGCGCTGCTGCAGGCGTGGAAGCACTACTGCGCGCTGGCACTGTCCTCCCCACGGTCAGCACCGCAGCAGCATAGCCACACTACTACCATGTACCTCGCCCTCCGCCCTTCGCCACCGCATCCGCTAACGCCCCGCACCACCACATTGCATTGTACTACACCTCCTGCTGCGCTACGCACCACCCCCGAGTATGAAACCGGCCACACCGCAGAGGCACGCGGTTGGAATCCGGCAGGCAGCCCTGGTTAAAACTGCGGGCACGTTAAGCGGAAAATACGCGTCGTCCGCTCCACAGTGGATGTTAAAGATCCCACAAAGTCATTCAAAGAAGAGTCGGCCATTGTGTGCCGGTGCCACGGTCCATCCCAATAGTCACCCCATTCAGATGCAGGACTTGGTGAGAGTGTCCTGGGCAAGCAAGCGCCATAAAGCTGCACCACACTGCACCACACTACCGAGAAGCACTCCCCATCGCACCCTGCACAGTAGCACACCATGCACACCAAGCCGCACCACTCGTCCCCCGACTCATCTCACGCTCGCTGCCGCTGTCGTGGGGGCTACACCTGTGCGGGGAGCGGTGGCGCAGTGGTTAGCGCTACGCTGCGCTACGAACCCCGGCAAGCCGAGAGTTTGAGTCCCGCTCGTGATCACCAACACCGGTGGCGATTGTCTGAACCGGTCCTGGGCCTCCCCCAGGTCGACTCGGCCTTCAAATGATTACCCGGTGCGGTGCGTAGTAAACATCGCCACTGGGAGAAACAAAGGCGGCCGGGCGTGGTGCTCGGCGTGCGCACTAACAGCACTTGCCCCCCACAGTCTGCGGCACGGGCACATCGCCCTCACGGCGTGCGCACCTGCGCGCACCTGCGGGCACCTGCGGGCACCTGCGGGCACCTGCGGGCACCTGCGGGCACCTGCGGGCACCTGCGAGCACCTGCGGGCACCTGCGGGCACCTGCGGGCACCTGCGGGCACCTGCGAGCACCTGCGGGCACCTGCGGGCACCTGCGGGCACCTGCGGGAACCCGCGTGGCTGTCGCGCCGCCTGGGAGGAGGGAGCGGCGGGGCTAGGGGCTGGTGGTGTTTGTCGTCGCGGCGGCTGCCTTTGTCTCCCCTGTTGATGTGCGCGCGCTCCCGCGTCAACGCCGACCGCTCTTGTCGTTGCGCTGCTGCCTCTGGGTCGGGTCGGTGCTGTGGGGGCAGCCGCCTGGAGGCTGTTTCATGTCGCGGAGGGGCGGGGGAGAGGGGTCGGGACTTGGCGTTCGCACACCGCGCGATGGCTGTCACCGCTCTCGTCTCTCTCTCTCTGACGAGACGAGTCTCGCTTGCACGAGTGACCTGGGGGCATCAATCTGCCAGTCCGGGGGGGTGGGGGCGATGATTACCGCTGGTGCTATACAGACTGAAACACTTGCACGTTTGTATTTGGCAATGGTCTCCCCTTGCAATGACGTTCGGGAACATTTAACATCCACCGTGGAGCAGACGGCGTACAATTCTCGATTGTTATTACACCCCCGCAGTAATAACCAAGGCGGCCGCTGGAAATCGAACCGTGAGTTCCTGCAGCGAGCGGCAAACGCGCTGCATCGCAAGGCCGCGAGCCGTGGCGACGGCAGTGGTATCGGTCGTGGCTGCTGATGATGACGACGATGATGAATTTGACACTCGTCAACAAAACAATCTCAAATGGTGCGTGATGTCGTAACGACCGTCTCAACATCCAGGGGGGCTGCAGGGCGGCCACTGCCCCTCTTATTTATGTTCACGCCTGGCCAGCACGACTCCGCCACGGCACCACCACCAGGGCACCACCACCACCACCAGGGCACCACCACCACCACCACGGCACCACCACCACCACCAGGGCACCACCACCACGGCACCACCACCACCACGGCACCACCACCACCACCAGGGCACCACCACCACGGCAGCACCACCACCACGGCACCACCACCACGCCATCACCACCACGGCACCACCACCACCACGGCACCACCACCACCACGGCACCCCCACCACGGCACCACCACCACCAGGGCACCACCACCACGGCACCACCACCAGGGCACCACCACCAGGGCACCACCACCACGGCACCACCACCACCACCAGGGCACCACCACCACGGCATCACCACCACCAGGGCACCCCCACCACGGCACCACCACCACCAGGGCACCACCACCACTAGGGCACCACCCCCACCACGGCAACACCACCAACCACCAGGGCACCACCACCACCAGGGCACCACCACCAGGGCACCACCACCAGGGCATCACCACCACCACCAGGGCATGGCAACGGCGCGTGTTTGCGATGTCCGCTGCCGGGCTCCCCGGCTGGTGTTGAGTGAAGCCGCCGCCGCGAGCCGAGCCCAGATCGAGCGATACGCTCGGCAAACATCGGCGCCACAGTCGCGGGGATTGTTCCCTCGCCGCGTTTAAACAAACACGCGCGGTGGCAGCGATTAAACCCCGGGGGCCAAAGTTTACCCAGCGAAATAACTCCCCTTTCAGGGCCTTTCAGGGCCCTCGCATTCAGCCCGTGCTTTCATTTGTGCTCACAAAGGGGGTCTCTCCCCTCCCTCCCTCTCTCCCCTCCCTCCCTCTCTCTCGCTGAAAGGCCCCCGTCGCACCAGCCCCCTGCCTGGACGAGTCCCCTGACGTGGCGACTCCCTGCGCGTGGTCTTCTTGTTCCTCTGCCGCCGCGTGCCCATGGCGCATTGCGCTTGAGAACCGATTGTTTACGATGGAAGCAGATGAGATGCTAATGCTGCGTTAGGCTCGTGGCGCGAACACAACTGCACAAACGAGTAGGAAGAAATGGGAAACGACACCAAGCGAGATGGAACAAACGAGACGAACGCAATAATTAATCGGTTAAATGGCGAGGCCAAGCGTGACCACATGAAGCCGCTGGCAGGGCAAGGAATTGCCCCATGCCTGGAGGACCTGAGACGTATTTGCAGCAGCCTCTCGTCCCCTTAAGAGGGCCTCTGAAGGAGATTCCCAAAGGGCTGCGTGGTTGTTTAAGAAGTCACAAACACTCCGAGACTTCCACGGTCTGGGTCACCGCTCAACGGAGACAGCGAGTCTAGGGGAGCACGTTGCTCGGTGTAGCCACCGCTATTTGCAGAGGTATACACGACGTGGTGCGCTGGATGCGGAGACATTTTCTGCGTCGCTAACCCGGACCGACGCAGCTGAAACTGCATCTTGCTTCTCGGGCGGTCACAGATGTCCCCCAGGGAATTCCGCTTTTCTCTTTTTCCGCAGTCTTTGATATCTCTCTTTGAACTTTACCGAACTGCTGCCACCTGCCCCTGGATTCCAATGTCACGGAGCTCAGACGTTCACAGATATTCTCAGATTTCTATTTGTTTCACCGCTGCATTTGTGACAAGCCTCTCTCTCAGAATCTGTTTTTCTGATCTGCTGCCACCTGCCCCGAGCTCGGCCTCCAAGGCCGCGGCGCTGTGCTCAGCTGCCCCCCGGAGCTCTCCGAGGGCTCTCCGGGGAGGGCAGCCGCGCCTCGGCGCCCCTTTGAAATCCCGCGGCCACAAGTTGCGACGCTTTTGAAGCGCGGCGGCGTTGTTGGGGGCGGGTGGCAGTCGGGGGGAAGCGAAGGGGGGGTGGGAAATCGGGGGGCGGGGGGTGTTATGGGCGGCTTGTGAACGGGGACCGGGGTGGGGGCGGTGAGTGCAGGGGTGAGGATCGGGTCAGGGCCGGGGTCAGGGCTCGGCGTGTCTCGGCACGCGCGACGTGGAGCCGGTCGCAGGAATAACGCGCAGGGCGATCCCTGCAGCCTCTCTCTCTCCCTCACGGCGCGCTCCAGCCGGGACTCCCACTGCCCCTGCGCTGCCCTCTGCTGCCCGCGAGGCAGCGCCGCAGCTGCCGATAGCAACCTGGTTGATTATGAGTGGTAGTCGCCCGTCCAGGCTCAAACATGCTTAGCTCGCGAGGCCTGGCGAGTCAATGTGACCAGAGCAGAGGCGCACAACAGAAGCCCAAGGAGAGGCAAAATCCGAGCGGTCGACGACTGCGTGCCGCCACGTGACTTGTGTTTTGGAGGGAGCGGAGTACTTCGCGTCTTGCTCGTGCTCCGCTTTCATTGGGGGGAGACGGGGCGAGGGGTTGACAACTCTGGAACCTGCGTGCCACCGAGGGGGCCGTGCTGGGGAGGGTCCTGCCCCACAGCCGCTGCTGATGCCGCTGCTGCTGCTGGTGGTGGTGAGGAGGGGCTCCTGGTGTCGGCCGCACGGGCACCGAGCCCGTGACGCCCACAGACAGTGGGGCCGTTTGATGTCGCCCGTGGCCGCATCACTGGATTGTGCGGCAGCGTTGGCCCCGTTGGCCCCGTGGCTGTGTAGATGCGTGTTGTGAAGTGGAATCTGCCCTTGTGCGATTCCATATATCACTGTGCGATGTCCACTGTGCATGGTGTTGTGGAGTTGGGGTGATCACTGCGCCGTGGTGGAGTTCGGCGTGATTTGGAGGCCATGCTATGATTTATGATTGGTATTTGCGGTGATGGAGGGCTTCCACGAAACATGTTTGGTCAGAGCGTAGTGGCTAACGCCATGTGACATTGACATCGAGTGTGCCACAGTGCTTTGTATGATGTTGCTCCGTGTGCGATGTTTACATGTGACTGTGTGCGTGTTTTCTGGAGGGCGCGTCGGCTGCTTGATCACTTCTCTTGATGATTGCTCAAGGAGAACAAACCCCTCGTCAAACATTAACCACGGAGTTCACCATTACCACCAAACAAATTACACGAGGCGCCTCTCGCCGGAACGCTTCAATAAATACCTGCGCATGTTACAGCCCTGTGTCAACCCAGTGCTCGATAAGGGGTTCCCCACACCGCGAGACTTCGTCGACCATACTTCACCACGCCGGTCAGTGTGAGTTGGCGAAGACGGGGACCACATAAGTACCGTACAACAGCAAATGCCTGGTAACGTGCGGCTCCCCGTACGCAGCAGCCTGCGCCACGTGCTCACTCGTGCGAGCGCCTTGTCCAGGCTCAGCGCCTGCTTGGCTCGCGAGATGTGACGGGGGCCTGGTGCGTTCCGGGTGATTTGTTCGAAAGCAAACAAAGTTGACTCTGCCGAGGAGGGGGAGGGGTGGCCGAATCGCAGCGCAAACACCGCGGCGGAGCGCTCGCTGCAGGCACAGCCGGAGGAGAAATGAAATGTTAAAGACTTTAAACGGTGAAGCGTTTTATACGGGGCCAAAGCATTGGTGTTGCCGTTATGCCGCGGCCCCTCGAGCCCTCTTGGTTCGTCTCGCGCAGTCCCCGCGAGTGGCGTGGCGCGCTAGTGGCGTGGGGCCGTGGGCCCTGCCTGGGGCACGGATTTGGATGCACTCGCACCGCCTGCACGCCCCACAGCGACGTCACGATGGGTCTCGATGCGAGCCCGGGGGTGTTTGCGAGTCTGAGTCTCTGATGTGAGAATGGATCCCTGGCGCGTCTCTTGTGAGTGAGTGGGTCTAATGGAAGACGAGGAGCTGAATGCCCCCCCCCCCCCCACCGGGCCTGCTTTCACCCCCTCCCCCCAGAGAGGCCCAGGCACCACAGCCTAACGCCTGGGCCCCCCAGCCTCGTGGCCCTCGGTGCAATGGCACCGCCTGCACACTCCCGAGCGACACCGCTCGACTCCCTCTCGTGTGCGACTGCGAGGCGGGTAGCGCTGTGTCCGCGTGCCGCGGCGGCTCTTGAAGCTGACTAACCCAGCCCTCGTGCTGCGTGACCTCCAGGAACGCTGCTGACCCCGCGACCCCGAGTGACCCCAGTGCTGACCTCTTCACTCGCGCGGCTGCCCAGTTGCTGTCGGGTGAGCGCCCCCAAACCCCCCCCCCCCCAGGGCAGTTATTGTACGTCACGGAGCATGTTTGAGCTTTTTAATGAATGTAAACTTATGTGTGTATATATATATATATATAAGTTAATATACACTTAACACCAGAATTCGTTAGTGGGTGTTAAATCTGCTGAATGAAAAGTAGTTGGAACAAACATTTCTCACTCGGTATTCTTAGGAGTGAGCACCACTCTGTGAGGTCAACAGTGGTTGTGTCCTGTTGACATACGTGTACCCGCCATAGGAATGTGGAATTTTCACCACTGGTTCTGCAATAATGTAAACAGAAATTGAGAGCACCGAATTGAGAGCCTCGATGCTGATTTTGATGAAGCAGCAGCAAATCACTTGGGCATTTTGTGTCGTTCTTGCGAGGGGAACGCTGTGCCTCCTCGCGTGCTGCTGCCGGAGCGCCACGCGCTCGTCTCGGCTCCCGCGCCGACGCTAACGGCGGCGCTCGCGTCGTGTCGCCCGCAGGCCCCCTGCCGGCGCCGCCGCCGCGGCATCTGGCCGAGGGCGCGCCGCGCTCCGTGTCACAGCTGACGCTCGACTCGCTGGCGCTCAGCCCGGGTCGGTAACCGCGCCGCGGTCGTCGTCGTCGTCCTCGCGGGCGGCAGGAAGGGCGGGGACGAGGCAAACAAACGCGACCTCGCTGGACCTCGGCCAGGGCACGCCCTCGGCGCCTTCCGCCGAAATGATTAAACATGTGGGAAGGATTGCTTCGGACGTTCCGCCATCCCGCAAACCAAGATATCTAGCGGACGTCCAGATTATTTACGTTCATGGCGAGATGCGATGGAATTCATATTTGCAGAATGGCGGTGAGATGGTCGTCCCCGACTCTGGACGGGCGTGTCAGCGCGACGTCCTCGCCGGAGAGAGGCGGCGACGAGGGCGGTGTGTTGGCCGTGCCTTGGGCCAGGAGGCTTCTTCGCACGGTGTCGCGAGACCTTTTTTATTCTTCTAACGGGGCCTCACCTCGGGGCAGGACGAGTTTGGTTGCGTGCGTGGGTACGTGCGTGGGTGCGTGCGTGGGTTTGTGCGCGTGTCCACAGCCACCCAGAATGGGGCGGGGGGGGGCTGTGGGATCTGGGGCAATTTTCCGTGGGCCTCGCACAAACGCGGGACCCAGAGCAAGGCCATTTCCTTGTTGCTCACGGAACCGCACGCGGCATTCTACGCTGGGCTCCCAGGGACCTCCGGTGGCCCTCCTGTATTGGTGGGTTCACCCCGATTCCCATCGTGTCCCATAGCTTTGCATTGCGTCGGAGCCGCAGTAGCTCGGTCCGACAGCAACAACCTGACCCGAGTGTTAAAGCAACAACGGTTGTTTGACAAAAAACTTCCTGCGTTTAAGACGCAGGCCACGTGGCTCTAGTGACGGGACCTCTGATGGCAATAATAATTCTCAGGCCATGGGCAATCCACTGCTGGACGAAAGCCTCCTCAAGTAGTCTTGGTCGTGGAGGTTGTGTGACCTTGCTGCACCACGGGGGTCAGTCCGGGTTGGTGACGGGGGGGGGGGGGTGCACGGGGGAGTCCAGCACTTTCCACCGATGTTATCCGCCGAGCAGATTTCGCTCCGGTCGTCAGGTTCGTAGCGCAGGCCGCTAAACCGCGATGCCGCCATCGTTCCACTCCACCTCTGACGTTGAGAGGTGGTTGGCGAAGGAGGTGCTTTCGTAGACTTGGCACCGCGTGTGGCCGGCCGCCTGAAGCGGAGCTCTCTCCGTGTGTGCTAGTCTCATCGCCGGCCCCAGCGTGAACTGTCACGACCCCGGACAGCAATTTGATTAGAAAATAGCTATTTGTATCTCCTGGTTTGTATTGTTTCCGTCTAGTTTTCAAAGTGTTTATCTGCTACATTGCCTTAAGCGTGTAATATTAACGTATTGTTTGCCATTACGTTTTAATAAATTATACATTCCCGCACACTATTCAATGCGCAGAATTGTTGAACGATTTATAGTCTTCATCATCGCACGTCTACGGAGCTCGTTCTCCGCCGCTGCGAAACGAAGCCGTCCCGTGTGACTTAGTAAATGAAACGCGCAGCAGGAAGCACAGCATCAGTAAGAGCGAGAACGCCTCACCTCGTCAGCTTGATGAGGTTTTTATTCATAAAAAGTCTGGAGTAGGGTTTGCAGCCACTCTGCGGAAGCATGCGATTTAGCAACCGGTTCCCAGAGGTTTCTGGGTAGATTACAGATTGGGTCCGTGGAGTTTGCGCCCCTGCTGCTGTGTCACGGGTAAGAGGAGTTCACGGTGAAATAATTCTACTGGTGCCACGCAGCGACCGGCGCCGGGCGAGACGGGGGTTTTGGCGCTACGATCGTTCCATCGTCGGTCTAACTCGGCGTTTACGTTGCCGCATTAAGGGAGACGGGAGGATTTGTGTCCTAAAAGTCACCGTCTCTGATTTTCAGAGAATTTGGAGGCAACTAAATTCTGTTTAGATTGTGTTCATTGCCTGAATTTGATAAATTGCCCAAAATGATAATTCAGGGTGGTGAACCTTTGGTCAATGAACGTGACATTTAAAAAACCGGCCCCTTCCTCTGATTCCAACCACCATGCTTGCAAACAACAAAGCTGAACTACGGCCCCTACTTGGGCCATAGGTCATATATATGGATAACTTTTTATATATATATATACTTCAAACCTCTAGAGTAGAGTGACTGCCTACGTTAATTGGCGTTTGCGTTCTGAGCTACAAACAAAACTCGAGGACGTCGGCGAGATCGGATCGGTGCGAGCGACGCGAGCGGCGACTTCACGGCACGGCGAACTCGCAGGCGTAGCCCGCCAGACGGTAACACGGGTCGTCGAACCACCTCCCGTCCAGCATCACCGACAGCGCCACGCAGTTCTCGCGCCGCCCGCCGTCCGGCTGGCCCGAGATGGCGTCCTCCCAGATCGTGAAGTTCACCGCCTCGCCCGACTGGTCCCGGAAGGCGCCCTCGGAGGCCACGTCGCTCAGGCCCACCCACACATTGGCGGCGGGGCCCAGGGCCCGGCGGGCGAGGCGCACGACGGCGGCGTTCTCGTCGGCGTCGCGCGGCACGGCGAGCGAGCCGCCGAGATGCACGCACGCCTCGCCCGCCTCGTAGAAGGTCTTCTCCAGCTCGCCCGGCTCCTCCTCCACCAGAAGGCACTTGCGGCCCACCTTCTCGCCGCGCAGACACACTGCGGGGGGGGGGGGGGTGAGCGGGCGCACGCACGCCACGTCGGGGCCGTGCCAAGGCTGTGCTTGGCCACGAGGCGCCGGGTTGCTTTCCACCCAGAAGCCGAGCCGTGCCGCCGACGTCGCACGCGGTGAAAGTATCGCGAGTCCCATCCCTGGCCCCGCTTGGTTGACCCCGAGCGAGATTTTTATTTCTTGCGAGACCAGCTGATCACGGATTGGGTCCGGTTCAGCTCGTCGAATAGCCGGTGGCAAGCCGCCACCTGCTCGCGAGGGTCCCGCGCCGGCTCGGCTCCGATGTGCCAATGGAAAAGGGGATAACGCTGACTGCGAGCCAAGGTGAGGGGGGCATGGTGGGGTGGGGGGGCAATGGCTGACGGACCGCTCTACTCGCACCCCACGGAGTAGGCACGTCGTGGAGCCCTGACTCGGGTTGTGTTTTCGCTCGGTTATGTAGAGGTCGTCAAAGACCTCTTGAGCCAGGTCTGCGTCTTTGCATGAGACGTGAGACAAAGTTCCCATCTGCAACTCTCACAAACCAGTGCACATCACCCGACATCAGTAGAGTGAATGGCAGAAGCAGAGATCGCAGAACTAGTTTCGAGATCCTTTCAGTTCACCTCCACCACACACAGGAACGCGGCATCATGTTCCCATGTGCTCAGCTAAGCATGTATGTCGAACGTCTTTCACAATGTTGTCCTTCCCCCGCACCTCCGATTATGTACAAACTAAACACAAAACTGTTGTTCAGTTTGTACATAGCCTAATTCGGTGGAACGGAATTGTTTAATTCTGAGAACTGAAGTTGTTTTGAAGGGGCCTGGCCGAAACGATGCCTGGGCTACAGCCGAGTTGTGTGAGCAGCAAATCCGCTTGAAATTCCTACTGCTGGTGTGGCGTCTCACTTCATCCCTGGCTGTGACATCGCAAAGGGCTTTTGCTCCTACCGGTCTGCAGGGCCTGCTGCTCCTTCAGCATCTTCAGCTCGAGCCAGATGTCCTCGATCTCCTTCCGGAGCTCCTCCACCGTCTCGTCTGGGGAAGCCGACCGAGAGAGGCGTGAGACCCCCCCCCCCCCCCCCCCCCACGAATCACACCGAGTGTTACCGGCAAAATCCACGCGGCCAGCGTTAGAAATGTCGATCGACTTCACCGGCCGCTTGTTTCAGCTCTGCCCCATGTCCCTGTGCGATGCAGCAACAGCCACCGAATACGCGCGCACGACGGCCAGTGGATGCATGGCACCGAGATCTGGCGTCCGTCTTGTCATGTCGGCCTTATCCCGCTGCCAATTTACCGCATCCGCTAGCAGAGGAACGTTAACCATATATGCATGCGTGACAGCCAGAAGATGCACGGCGCAGCGCTGCGGAATACACGTCCGCCTGCCGTCCGTGCGCCACGTCCCTCTGCCTCGTTACCGTCCAAGCGAGCGGTGAAGCCGAACGGTCGCGTGCTGGCCGGGGGCGCGGCGGCCACCGCCAGCAAGAGGAAGCGCAGCAGTCGGGCGGTCGACATCGTCCCAGCGTGGCCGCGGACTGCGCGTGGCCCAGACCCTCTCCCCGAGCGCACGCCTCGATGTCTCCCAGCATAGGGGGAGGGAGGCGGGACCCGATGAGGCCGGCGCTGGGGCAGGTGGGGGAACGCGAGGCAGATGCGGAGTGCCAGCAGAAGGTGGGGGGGGCACCCACGATCCCCCCCCCACCCCCCATGATTTCCAACTTGTCCCAAAACTCGACTCGTTACGTAAAGTTCTTAAAACGGCGGTCAGCGATTTAATAAAGTTCGCGATTTGGAATGTTTGCACACAACGTGGCAAACTTTCTCTTGCTGCGTAAAAATAATGATTTTCATTTTTAACGTGTAATATTTATGGGCTACATTCCTTGAAATAACACCAACCCCGCCATTCAACATCCGTCTCGGAAGTGAAACTTACATTACAAAGTGGAATTTAAGTGAAAAATAAACCCCTTGGGTCGGCGATGCCACTCCTGCTAGGTCAGGCATCTCAGGAACGGGAGGTCTGCAGAAGATTGAACTTGGCACAAATAACCGGGCCTCGGGTCGAGGCGGAATTCAAGTTTCTCGATCTGTGAACGATTAGCTGCTGGGCCAAGCCACGTGCGCAGCGACGGCCCCGCACTCTAGTTGGGTGTGGCCGTCTGGAGCTGGTTGGTCAGAGGGGGGTGGAGGGGATGGGGGGAGGCTGGCGTCCAGTGGGGGCCGGAGTGAAGGGGAACCCGGGTCACGGCCTCGGACGACAGCGCCACCCGCGCCGCGAGCAGGAAGATGGCATCGCTGTTTTGGAAACTTTCTCCACGCTTGCTACCGAGCGAGCGTTGCTAGACACGTGACAGAGACGTATTCCGAGGGCGTTTCAGGTGAACATCTGTGGAGGGGAAGGAGGCAGGGTAGCGAGCGTGTGGGTCTCCGTAACTCAACAGCAGAGAGAAGGATTTTTGGCCGCAAGCATCTGCACCGCTGAGATTAAACACCGATTTTTTTTTAAACAAATGGTTTTAGAAACGGCCACTTCCTTTCCAGCGACTTGGCAGCGGCGTCTGCCTGCTCATCGCCCCGCTCGCTCCCTCCCCCTCCGCTTTGCAGACACCGCCGCCTGCACGGCCAAACGTCGCGCCGCCGAGAAATCCACCACGCACTCGGCGGACGTACAAAACGAGACGTTTATTGCGTGGCAAAAAAATATTCAAACAGGTGTGTGTGGGAGAGCTCCGCGCGGCTCCGTGTCATCCGAGGAAGCCGACTTTCTCCCTCTTGGTGCCCTGCGACTCCTCGTGCTGCAGGACGGCGTCCAGGGCCTTGTGCAGCGACACGCCCACTCGCTTGCCGGTCTGGACGCGGAGACGGCAGCGACAAATCAAGGGGTGAAACCGTCGCTCGTCCAACAGAATTTAACATCACTCAGCGACGACTCCTGCCTGGAATACAAAAATAACCTGGCGGCAGTGGTACGCAAGCACAAATAACAAACGCTCAATATGTTAATCAAAAACACCGTGTGCCCTTAAAAGAAAAAAAGGTCACGTTTCGGGCAATGGCCCTTCTTCATAGCACAGCGAGCCCAGAGCGATGGAGTCAGAGTTGGCGACTGCACAACACAGCGATGGAGTAAGAAGTGGGCGAATGCACTACACACAGTATCCATCATATCCGCAGTGGGGTGCTCATAAAATTCGAATTACCAGAATGTGTGAACTACGAACGCGGTAGAGGTCGTGGAGCGGTCGGGAGCGGTTCACGATGACGTCTCCACAGACCCTCTCTACTGCTCGAGGAGCAATGCGTCTCACCGTCTCTGCACGACGTCTTGAGATGCGGTCACAGACGTTACCCAATCCTAACTTGCTGCTGCTGTTGCAACGGTTCAACACCCTAGACACCCTTACAATCTAAATGTTCCATCTTAAGGGATTATGTAGGTAAAGTATTGCAATTAATAACCCCCCGCCCCAAAAGCGTGTAGATGCATTGCCACTATCCAGGGTCACAATTCAAGAATCGCCTCTCGTCTGTGTTCCCGTTTCTCTCGTGCAATGTGTCCCATCGTCTTCTTGCCAAGCTGGATCGGTGCGTCCTTGCAGGCCGCACGTTCACCACCACCACTTGTTTACAGGAACTGCCTTCGCTCTCTGGGTGTCTTGGCAATGCGTGAACCATCAAGAGCCAGGAGCGGTTCAACTCAACCCCACTGCTCACGAACGGTGGCAATCTC